GTGGGGGGGAGTGGGCCCGGGGTTGTTCTGACGACCGGGGTGGGGGCCCAAGGGAGGCCGCGGCGTCTGCCGATGGCTCCGCGGAAGCTGACCGGGCCCGGTCCAAGATGGCGGCGGTGGGGGGGGCCTCTCCTCCTCTCTTCTCGTCTCTGGCGCCGGCCCGCCCCCGAGCCCCGAGTATAGACCTTTCATTGCTCCTGCTGCATGTCGCTCTCAACCATCGGGTGAGCCTTATTGGCTCTTTGCAGGGATGTGCCCGGCCCCCTCTCACGGATTGGGCGATCTTTCCAAGGCGCTGCGTTCGATTGGCCTGCCGCGCAGCCCGCTACGATTGGCTCAAGTTTTCCACCCGCTCCGCCGCCTCCTCCCGCCTCCGGGCACAACACGCCAGCGCGAGGACCCATGAGTCAATCGAGGAGCCTGTGTCGTGCTGATTGGATGTATCCGCCCCCCTCTTCTAAATCAATTGGTCGGGAGGAGGAGCTAGGCTGATCAGGGGCTGGAAGTCGTCCGTCAAGTTTAGAGACGTTTTTAATTGGTTGCGGTGGGATTTTTCTTCCCCGAAGATATTGGTTGGTAGTGGAAATGGGTGGGGAAAGCGGAGGAAGGCATGGGGAGTGGGCGTTCCAGGCCGCGTACCTAATGAGAGACAGACAGATGCCTTCAAAGCCGGGGCCGAGCCGGTCATCTGCCAATCAAAACAGCCTCAGGACCGAGGGGGAGGAGCTGAGCCGTGACTGTTTTCACTCGTCGCAGTTTGACCAATAGCGTAGCGAATAGGCGGGACCTGTTCATAAAGCGTGCGAAAGAGGGTGTAGCCGGCAGGTGTAGGGCTGAGCGCATCCCTCTTCCCTGGCGCCTGGGCCGGGCAGGCTTGTCCCGGTTTCTCAGCTGCGTTGTCCTTCTGCAAGTGTCTGTGTTCGGCACACCTCCATACCTGAATGAAAGGAGGAAGGAAGGAAGGAAGGAGCCATAGATGGCCCTCTGGTCCCTGGCAGATTCTGATTCAGGGGTCCCAGACCCTGTTTTTCTAACAAACTTTGTAGCTGGCAGGTGGTGTGGTCGTTAAGAAGCTGGACTCCCTCATGGTCTATCACAGTTCAATTCCCAGACCTGAAGGCTTGTCTTTTCTCTCAGGTTAAATTTAAAAAATAATAAATAAAAATAAGTGATTCTTAAAAATAACAAGCTCCCAGGGGATGCTGGTACTCCACAGGCCATACTTTGAGCAGCGACGATCCAGAGCAATACTTCAAACTTGGCAGCATGTAAGACTCACGGGGGAGGGGGCGGCCAGCAGGTGGCGTGGTGGTTAAGGCGCTGGACACTCCACTCCCACATGGCCGTCTACGGTTCGAGTCCTGGACCCGGTGGCTTGCTTTCTCACTTTCCCTCCTCTGTGTGTGTGTCTCTCTGGTCAAATTTAAATAAATGAATGAATAAATGAATTCTTAAAAAAAAAAAAACTCACCTGGGAAGCTTATTTTTTAGAAAATTCAGTTATTCTGGCTTTCACTGAATCATTCTTCCCACGTAGGAGCCAGACATCGGTGCTGTGTGCAACGCCTGAGATGGTCCCAGCACACAGCTAATATAAGAGCCACTCGGCAAGGGTCTCCTAGAGACTCGATTATTTAAGGGTTTTTGTTTTGGAGAGGTTTTTGCTATAGGACATGTGCGCTCACCAGAGACAGAGAGACAGAAAGCGAGAAATCCCCCCCCGGGGGGATGGCCACGCCACAATCCCTTCTCCATTCTCCTCTCGGGATCTTGGGCATGCATGCACATGCGCCCAGCCTGAGTTTAAGCCACCGGGTCCGGGACTCGAACTGTGGTCCACTACATGGGAGTCCAGTGACATAGCCATTACGCCAACTGCTGGTCCCCCAATTATATAAGGGCTTTTAGCCCCACCCCAGGCCCACTATGTCAGGAACTCTGGGTCCAGCAGTCACGTGTTTGCTTTTGGTTTGCTATATGGCACTTGTGAAAGAGAAGGCACTTCTGGAGGGTGGCCACGCCACAGAAGCCTTTCCTCCATTCTCCTCTTGGGATTTGGGGCACGCACACACACATGCCTAGCATGTTTTTCAAGCCACTGGGTCTGGGATTTGAACCACTCTGCTGGACACGTGGGATCCAGCTACCTCAACCACGAGCACAGACTGGCCACCAGCAGTCTCGGTAAGGAGCCCTCGAGGTAGGGTGGGGCATAGTAAAGTTGAGGCCCTCTGTTTCCAGTGCTCAAGGCTGTTGTGACTCAGACACCTCCACAAGCCCCACCCACCCCTGCAGATGCAGTCAGCAAAAGACTGCTGAGGACAAGGGCCCTCACATGCAGACCCACAGAGGAAGGCAGAGGCTGCCGCAGCAGGGCCGACCCAAAGGCTCGGGGCGAAGCTGGGGAAGCAGCAGATGAGTCATGCAGCCTGCGCTAGCCAGTCATGGAGGGGCTCCCAGGTACAGAGGGCTGTGGTCCAAGGAAGGGGATTCTGAGGCAGAGCCCTGGAAGCAGGAGGGACTGGGATCCAGAGTCACACAGAGGGACAGAACGAGATCTCAGATAGGACCCAAGGAGTCAGAGCCCCAGGGAGAGAGCATGAGCTGGGGGCGGGGCGGCCATGGCCGAGCCCTGGGCTGGCTCTGGTCCCGGATCAGGTGGCCAGGGATCCTCCTCGGTTCCTCTGCAGAGCCCCAGGAGGCTCCCGCTTGACCCTGGCAGGGAGGCAGTCTCCACCTAGACTGCCCACACTGCTCACTCACCCGGGGAGCCGCTTCCCTGCCTGCCAGCCCACTCCCCCTCAGCCTGAGGCCCGGCTCCCGAGGCAGAGGGGCACATGCCCTCCTGTCTCTCCTCTGAAGGGACTTTTCTAGCACCTGTGCTACTGGCAGGAGCTGCACGCTGCGCCCAGCAGGGCCATGGCACACCTCAGCCACACGGTTGGAACCTAACCCCTCCCAAGCGCCGGGCCCTCCCTGCATACCGATCATGCCCAATCCAGGCAGGGCTCCGGCCCACAGCGGCTACACCGGGTCCCGGTGTCCTCACGGCTCAGGTGCTGGAAGGACACCAAGGGCCTCGACGTAGAGGAGGCTTTCCTCCTCCTGGGAGCCCACGAGGAGGTGACAGGCCCAGGGCGGCCCAGGTACCCCTGCACAGGAGGCCCACGCCTCGATTTGCCCTGAGTGTTTACAAATGGTCACTCCCCAAAGACGGATGTTAATAACAAGCTTTTAATTGTACTCTCTCCACGAAAAGCACCTCCCTTCACAGCTAACATGGCAAGCCGAGCTGTGATGAAGCCCCGCTCAGCCCGAACGGGGCGGTGACCGCAGCCCCAGGGAGGCTGGCCGGGCCAGATCCAGGCTCCCTGGATGGGCCGGGGACAGAGCAATGGCGGGGCAGGCGCCCCAGCCTGGACCCAGGCCCCTGCGGAAGGAGGGCTGGACTCCACGTGCCTCAGAGGCCCCTGGACCTGCGGCCCCTCAGGTGGACAGGATGCCGCTCTTCTCGCCCTTGACCTTGAGGAACTCGGCCATGCTGGAGAAGTACTTCTGGTTGGCCTCCGCCACCTTCTTCTCGGCTGCCTGCGGGTTCACGATCTCCAGGCCCTGGCGGGTGAGGCGGCAGGGTGCTGGATTAGGTGGGGAGGCACAGGGCCTCCAAGACGCCCCCGCCCCACCCAGCCAGAGAACTGTGACCCGCTGGCCCCACAGGCCCTTCCCCATGGTCCTTGCCAGTCCCTGGATGCAAACAGGGGAAGTAGCTTTGCAGGGTCACGCAGGGCAGGAGCAGGGCCACCCGGCACTAGGCCTCCTCTGCGGGGGCTGGGTCCGGGCAGTACCTGGAGTGGAGTGAAGGCCACGCTGGAGGCAGTCCCCGAGGTGCGGTCACGGATGGTGGACTTCCCGCCATACACCACGCTCTGCTTCTGCAGCGTGCGCTGCGGGAGGACAGGGAGGCCGGGCTGAGCTGCGCCCAGCTCGCGCCCTCGGCCTCCAGCCCCGCTGCGCCCGGCTCGTGCCCCCGGCCTCC